CCATGGCAAACACTGATCCAGGGTGCTGCAAAGCTGCTGGGTGCTCGACGGCCGCACTGGAGGGAGATGGTAGGGTGGGCTGCGAGCCGGCGTTGGCGTTAGCTCTGTTTCCCAGAGCTCCCCCCATCTGGCTGAACTGTTGCCGGCAGCATCAATCTATGCACTATTTATAGAGACTAATGTAAAGACTTTCTATAAATACGGGGGGCGGGAGGAGGGCTTTTCCCGAGCCACCGGTGCGGCATGGGCGCTGTGTTTGTACAGGGTCTCCCTTCAGTGCCGCCTCCCTGCCTGCTCACGGGCTGGCCGCAGGCAGCAGGTGCGGGCAGGCTGAGCGCGGGCAGCCCTGCACCTTTGCAAAGGAGCACTTCAAGGTCCGGCTGGAGGCACGCGGGTGTGTGTCCCCCCCTCCGTGGGGCCGGAGCATCCTCCAGCCCTGGCCTGGCTGTGGGTGCTGTTGGGGTGGCCAGAGCACCCGAGAGGTGCGCACCCACCGCCTGGAGGCACGCGGGTGTGTGTCCCCCCCTCCGTGGGGCCGGAGCATCCTCCAGCCCTGGCCTGGCTGTGGGTGCTGTTGGGGTGGCCAGAGCACCCGAGAGGTGGGCACCCACCGCGGGCAGGCAGTTTTTCCCAGCCTGGCCGTTGCTCTCTACCTGCCGGGAGCCAGGGAGGGATTTAGCCAGGGAGGGAGCGGGACCCCGCGTCCCCCCCCCTGTGGCCCTCCTGCCTGCCGCCGCCAGTCCTGTGCCCCTGGGGTGAGCGGGCTGAGCCGGAGCTGAACGTTTCCAACCCGAAGCTGAGTGAAAATAGCCCATAATGGGTGCGTTGTAAATATGTTATTGTGCCAGTATTTTTTTTACTGTGCCTTTTTAAAAAAAAAAAAACAAAAAACATTGAGAAATATGTAGATTTTAAAATGCTTTTTATACATTTTCTGTGGATCGGAAAAAAAAACCCCAACCTTCTGATAATCTGTTTAAGAAAGAAAAAAAAAATTGCCATGTCTTGTAACTATCACTTACCTTAATTTATATGTTCCAGTATCTGGAATGTCGCTCTGTGCTTTTTGTAACTAGGATGTGTTTAAAGCAATAGATGTGGGAGGGGGAACCAGCATGGACAGCGTGTTCTCAGGGACTTGAACCCGATTGCTGCCACGGGGTTCCCGTGGGAGCTGTCACCAATAAAGCAGCTTTTTTGCTGACCAGAGTCACCTGGTCCTGGGCTCCGGTGTCTCTTTATGGACGGGCTGCGCTGAACACCCCTCATTCCCCCCATGGATGTTATCGCCTCTAACGAATCTCACAGGGATGCACCGGGGGATGCACCGAGGAGGGCTTGCGCCTGCATCCCTCTCTTTTCCCACGGGTACCGGGATCTGATGGCCATTTGCATCCCAGGGTGCGAGGGTCCTCTCCTCCGTCCCCTCCCCAAAAGGCTCTGGCGGGGCTTGGCGCCTCGGGGCTGGTTTTTCCCAGGCTCTGGGGTGGGAGCGGAGGTGGCAGAGGCGAGGTGAGAGCCGGTTGTTAGCAGGGTGCTGTTAACAGCCGGCGGGCAGGCGTGTGCGTGGGAAGGTTGGGGGCTGCGGGGGGCCGACCCCCTTCCCTCCCAGCCTTCCCTTTGCCCTCCGCCGCCCTTTTAGCCGAAACTAAGCACCCACCTGCCAGCAACAAGCCCCAGCTTTCATGGGCTGTGGCGACAGCGTAAGATCTACCCCCCTCCTGAAACCAGTCCTGTTTGTGCCCCACCGGTACCAGCTTTTGCTTGCGCCATCCTCTCCTCCCCCCGCCTTCCTCCATACCCGGCATCTTTTTTTTTTTTCTTTTTGAGGCACACTTACTTACTTTACAGTTTCACTTGAATCTCGGTTATCAGGGGTTGGCCTTGCTAAAAATACAGCCTAGCAGGAAGTCGGCGTGTGCTAAAGCAACATCCCCCCCTCCTCCCAACACCCGCACACCCTTCAGACAGCCTCAAAAGTCCCCCAAACTCTGCAGCCCTTGGGCTGCTGAGGCGGGGGGGAGCGGCTCTGGCTCCTGCCCCAGGGAACCGAGCATTGCCCTGACCTGGCCCCCTAAAAAACCCCACAGGTACCCAAAAAGCTCCCTGAGGAAAGGGAAGGGTGGACAGCAATGCTGCCTTCCCCCAGCGCACGTTGATTGGGGCCAAGGAACTGTGTGCTGGGTGCAGGATTTGGTGCCCCTCGGCCCCCCCGCCCCCGCGTGGGGTCAGCGAAGGGGAACTTCGTCAGGCGCAGGAAGCTGTGCCACCCGCCGCTCGCCCGCGTATTTTCCTATTGCTCACAGGGCTGTGGTTTCAGCAGCGTGGGCGCTTCCCGGCAGCGGTGCCGTCACCCTTTCTGCAGGCTGGTCCTCCCTCGGCACCCCTTGGGAGGGATGGGGAGATTCAGCCAGGATAGCACCCATCTCACCCCAGGCAGGGCTGGGTGCAGGGCGTCTACTGCAAAACAGCCCAAATCTTGTGTTAAGCATCCACTGAGGCACTGGGGAGCCAGGGGCTGTGACAAGGGGCTGGGATTCTGCTGCAAGGAGCAGGAGCCCCTTGGCAGGGGTAAAGGATGGGAGGGTGCTGGGCATGGTGCAACACCTGGAGGGGGATTAAAAAAAAAAAATTAAAAACATCCC